GCTACCCCTTTAATATGCCTTTTTATTTTCCCCTTTCTGGAAACAGTCTAATGTCCTGAGAAAATGCACAAAGTGCTTGTTGTGGGTCCATTGCTACTACTGTGGTTGCACTGGAGTCACATAAAAACCACTATAGGTTTAAAAAACAAAAAACAAAACAAAACAAACAAACAAACAAAAAAAAAAAAGGAAAGAAAAGGCTTCCACCTAAGAAGAAGTTGAAAGTAGTTGTAATAACTATAAATTTTTTACTCCTGTTTTTATTGTTTGTAATAGCAAAGTATGTCAAGGCAAGAGCTGAGGTTAAAGACCTTTGTACCACAGACTAGAGAAGATAATATACTCTAAAACTGGGAAAAAATCAGGGCAGAATGGGAACACATTGTTCACAGGCACCAAGACTGGCACCAGATGAAACTAGCAGGTAGCTGACTCAACATAAATAAAACCTGATACTTCTTCAGATGTGTTGTGTGTCACTGGAAGCCAGAGGACCACTGTACAGCTGCACTGTTGTGCTCCATATTGCACAGCTGCTACGGTGGAGCTTCAACCTGGCCCCATGCTGCTGCTCTTATGCGTTCAATAGAAACTAGCCCACACTTACTAACTCAGAGGACTTACATTTCCAATACGTGAGACAGGCAAAATGGAAGAGGGGTAAAATTTTATTAAGGGAGAATTAAGCAAGAGGCTGTTCTGTGACCTGTTCAATGTCACCCAAGAAATCAGTGTTTCAGCTGGGAGCTGGAGTCCCCTTCAATGCCTGAATTACGGTGTAATGCTTTCCCCCCCGTTATCCACCAAAAGTCTGTGAAGTAAAAACAGAATTGAAGGCATTGAGTTATCAGGTTCAGAAGTATTTGTTTTTCCATGGAAACCTCCTCCCAGCAGCAGCCAAGCTTTTGCAAGGAGAGAAGCACCTCTCATCATGCAAGAGCTGTCAGGGAGCTGTTCTGTGCAAAATGCTGTAGCTGCAGCTGCCTTCTGGAGAAGTCTCATCCCACAGCCAGGCAGCATACAGCCCCATTCCTGGCAATTCAACCTGTTCAATAATTTTTCACTGTGGTCATACCAGAATCATAGCCTTGTTTTCTGTTGTCTGGCTGTTAGTGGTGATGTATGAAGAAGTAAGAAAGACAGCTTAATTTTCATAAGCTAACTTGTGCCTGGAGTAACAGAGAGTGAGAGGAGTGCACTTAATCATAGCTGCAGGGCCAGAACAGAAAATGATAGAGCTTTTGCTGTTAGTTATGGTATTTTATTATAATAACTCTTAGGAAGAAGAAACCAGCAGCTCAAAATGCTGAACAGTTCAAATTCATTATGGTAGCCACTGTGTTCTCATCTGCTGGAAGAATAACTTACAGAACTCTTTTATGCCTACTTTTTCCAAAAGTTCGTGGTGGGAAGGAACTCAAGTCTTTTTCCCCAGAAAATCTGAATTCAGATTGTGGTATGATCAGAGGTGAAATGAACCTGGTGATAGTTCCCACAGAACTGCAGACACTTTACAGGAAAGGCATGAAAGGTGGCCAGAGGGACAGGTTGGGGCTGGTGGATGGTCAGAAAACTGTGGGCAAGGTGAGCATTCCCTGTGCCTCCTTGACACCATGCATCGCTTTAGCCTTCTTTCTATAACTTCCTAATTCATTTGAAAAAGTAAATAACAAAATGAACTAACTGGTAGGGGTCAGATACACTGGATAGATATTCTCACAGTGATTCATTAATATTGAAAAAAATTAATTAAAGCTTTGAGTGAAGCATTTTTGATTGGTCACAAATGGAAGGACAAATCTTGTAATTTTATTTTGTTTGAACTTTTAGATACATAAAATAATGTGTTCTATGTGGTATATATTATGCATCTGTATTATGTGTCACATTGTTTTATATTATTTAAAGTGATGAGGGTTGTGCATTTTTTATTTTGGTATCTTCAGATCAAAATATTTGGGGAATTTCATCCAGAAAATATTTCTGATTTTCTTTTTTCTGTACTGATTCAGAATGAAAACATTTTTTGGAAACATTAATATTTGCTATGCAGCTGAAGTTCTGGTTTCCCGATTACTTCCGATTTAAGTCAGGATCAGAGAGACAATATAAAGGGTAACAAAAATACATTCTTCTTTGGCAGAGACAGCAACGCTATTCCAGCCTAGAGAAAACAGAAATTAAATTAGAGAAGATGCAAAGCATATCTCCATAATTTTCTTCAAGGTGTCTTGGGAGACAAGTCATCACATCTGCCTAGTAGGCTTTTATGCACCAGTAAGAGTTACAACAGGCTGACAAGTTGCATAATGCTGTACCCTAGGACAGTACATGAACATGTGCGCATTCCCAGGCCATTGCAAAGGCAAACTAAAGCATGTTAGCTAACACGTTTTCCTTTGTATTTGTGACAAGCTAAAAGGACATGTACAGGCAGTTATTCCAGCTCAGTTGATACACAGTAAGTCACATTATCTGATCCATGTATCTAAGCCCTAAAGCTTACATGATGTTAATTTCTGCCTTCATCCATGTCCCGTGTCAAACCTCAAGGAACACTGGTGAAAGCATGATTTGTTATGATGTCTTCAAAAATAAAGGGAAAAAGGGGAAGGAAATTATACAGCTACAGTAAATACAGGCAAATATAATTTCCTGAGCCTTTTCAGTTTATCTTGGCATGAGAAATAATAACTGAGAAATAAGTGTTTGGGAGGTACATTATTAGAACTGAGATTTTGCACTGATAGGTGGGAAAGGAAAACCATTAAAAAAGTAGCAAGGTTTGTTCTTTTTTTATTATTCATCAACTTAAAGCCTGAACTCTGTGGTATGATGGGCAATTCATGGGGCTAAAATAATTAAAGCAGACTGATGTTCCATGGTAAGGAAGTTCAGTATCTGCTTCTTGCAAATGGAATTCTAACATTTCTTTTGATGTTAGCAGTACTATCCTGAGAAGGATCTGTGGACTGCTGAGTTGTGAAATGTGCTGTTAGATTATGGGCAGGGACACTCACTTCCTACCAGCTGTGCCAATCCATTCCAGCCCAGCTGCACCTGCATTTTTTATTGTTTTTTGCTTTCTTCTCATCCTTTACTAGCCATGGCAGTTTCTTATTTTGATTTATTCTACCTCAGCTGTAAGGGAGTGGTTATAAAGAACAGGCAGACTTCCAGGATGGAGTCAACAAGTGTTGGTTTAAATTTTGTCCTTCGGCATCTTTTTGCCTAAGACTTCTGTCAGTTGAGATCCCTTTCATATTTCCTCACAATATAGCTTGTGGTGTCTCATGCTCTCTAGTGTGTTCCATGTGTGTCACAGGTTGAGAGATGCTATAGTTTATTTGTATGAACAAAGCATCAGTTGCTCAGGGATACATTTGCCTCTAACTTGTAATTTCCTTCATTTGCTTGTGCATTGCACTCTGTTAATATTACCAGTTTTCGGTAGCACCCATGGGAAGATAAATCTGTGGTGGTCTTTTATATGATCCTTTTGCTCTCCCCCAGATTTTCCACCTTCTTGAAAAATTACTTATGGAGTATAATGTGAAAAATTAAATATATATATTTAATATAATAGCAAAGAGGAGACAACATTAGAAAATTAGGTCTGATGAGGAGTACCATGTTGTCATTAGGGTAGAGTAGGATGATCCTGAAGTAGCGTGGAGTGGACTTGGTAATCTCTCAAGGTTATTTTTAGATTAATTTCCATTCACTCCTTGAATGCTTTCATAGTGTTCTGGTTTATTTGTCATATGCATTGGCCAATCTCTGCTGCTCACCCTCTTTGAAACAGCACTTGAGATACATGTGGGGGTTTCTGACATTCACCTGAATTTCAAGTACCACAGAGGAGTGTCACAATCAGTTTTCAAGCCAGCTATAAAATTGAATTAATCACTTCTGTCTTTATGTCTTGCTTCTCAGCCCAGTCTTGTCGTGGGCCATACTGAAATTTTAGTAATACAGCTGTGGTCTTATGTAAGCAGCGTATAATGATCATTTAATGCTTTCAGTGCCCTGCTGTGACCATACACCCAATTTTATGAGCATAGCTGGGATTTTAAAATGGCCTTCAAAGCGTGCTTTCTCAAAAGGTTGCAAAATAATTTCCAGTACCAGTCTCAGTGCCCTCAATGAGCATGTCCCTCTGTCAAAACACCATTCGCTTTCCTTTCTCTGACTGGCTCCAAATGCAGTTTTCCCTCCATCCTCTGTCACCAGAGCATCATTTCAATCACTTCTCTTATTTAAATTTTATACAGCACATTTCAGGATAGATAATTAAGTCCTTATCTATACAAACATTCACTTTTCAGTTGATTTTTAAGCAGTGCAAACCTTTTAGACACATTTGATTTAAAACACATTTTACTCTAGCTGCAGCCAGCTGCTAATCAATGTAAGATAAACTGAAATAAAACTGAAATCATAATTTCTATGCAGCATTCTACACAGGCTTACCTAAATGACTTTTAAATTACTCTCTTAAATTAAAACAGCGCAACATTCTTATGTAGGTAAACTCATAGAATCAAATATTTTTCTGAGCAAAAGGGATTTCCTTTGTGACTGAGAAAAAAATCCCTGAAACTAGTAGGGAATAATTTGTTATACTGAGCCTTGTTCTTCAATTACATTATCTCCATCAGAGTAAGAACAGATCTTCATATTAGATTATCATTTTACCAACACTTACTTCTCACTAGGAGGATTCTCCATCATTGTATTCCAAAATCAAGCAGCATTCAGATTTGTCTGGGTGATATATTTCTGTCAGCATGACAAGGGTTCCCACAGTGTTTATTTACCCACACTAGCCAGGGGAGAAGGAAGAAATGAGCTGTGCTAGGCTTGCTGTCTGTTACCTAAGCAGGCTCCTTCCCAGTGCATGGAAGGAACCAGCACCCGACCTTCCGGATTTCTCTTTTGTTTTCCATTGATTGACTGTCTTCTGTCTCCTAATCTGCTTGCAATTTGCTCATTTCCAGGGCAGCAAGTTCTTGGCTTAGTAGAGAACCAGAGTGATTGGTATTTGGGCAACCTTTGGAAGAATCATCGACCCTGGCCAGCACTTGGGAGGGGCTACAACACAGGTAGGACCCGAGGGTTTTCTTCAAATTAGCGTTTGCATTGAACATGCAATCTGTTTCCTGGTATAGAGAGTATATATAGAGAAAGATGTGGTAATTTGCACCTCCCTCCCTAAGATATGGCTAAATTTGTCTTTTAAACCAGCAAAAATTATGCAGTGTCATGCATTTTGGAGTTTCCTGTCTTCTTTAAATGGTGTTAGAAAAGATTGTGTAGTGTCCTTTGGGGAAGAACAGAGCGTTTCAGCAATCTGACAGATCCTCAGCACATCTCCTTTGAGATTTCTGTCCGTGATGACACGTATGTAGGACCAGCAAGTGGGAATGAATAGGAATTGAGACTCGTTTTCTGTAGAGAGGTAAATGGTATCACAAAATGTCAGCCCAATAAAGATATAACTCCTGCAGAACAGCAACAGGGTCATAATTGTCCTAATAAAATGCAAGCTACTGGCGATCAATTTCTGCTGCCATGAGAAAGGAATAAAGGCGCCAGATCAGAGAATTTATTAGGTTACAAAAGACAGGTCTTCCCACTGATTTGTGTTTGGTGTGTGTGAAAACATACCAGGTGCATAAAGAACACATACATACATCTAAATCGTTTCTGTGGTAGGCTTTACATGCTGATGCAGTGAGTTAAATTCCTTCTCTATTTGTAATAAAAGGACAGAACAGATGGTGAAGCCTCCATTTGGAACAGATGAGTCCTTTTAAATATCCCTGCACTATCAGAAAATTATTCACCATAGTAGTGGTTTTGCTTCACAGAAATATATTGGTTTGAATTAAACAGACTAACTAGAAAATGAGTTGCACAAGTTGTGGTTGGGTCATCCATATTTCTATATTCCTTTGTATGTTTGCGGGAATCCCACTAATTTTTGTGAATTTTTATTTCAGTCCCTGCAAAGCATCTCTAGTCTGTGAAAAGCTTCAAAAGAATAGCCTAACAGAATATGGATATGGATACAAGATTTTGGCAGAATAGGTTTGTTTCATGGTTCTCCACTTGCCAGAATTGCAAATAGAAAGGCTGGGTCTGCTCACTGCTGTTCCCAGCCCCGCAAAAACATGAGACAGAGATAAGTTTCATGGATTTGTCCTGAAACCTGAAAGCTTACATTACACACAGCTGACCTTGTTGATGTCAATTCTGTTTGCTGTTACACCACAAAATAGTATCTTTTGTTCTGCTGAGAGATGACCACCGCATATAGTTACCTCTTTCTGCTACAGTTTTGCTTTTTCCTTTCTGCCATTTTAATACTGATAGAGAGAAATGTGGCACAACCACATAACATTAGAATAACCCAGAAATGTATGGTGGGTAATATCTAAAATGCAATTATGTTAAAAAAAGTGCCATAAGGATTTAATATATATCGTCTTAACTTACTGTTCCAAATGGTTTATAGGGATGCCACATGCCAGTGTATCACATAGATCTTCCACTGAAAACAAAAATAACTGAATATCTGCAGTCCTTCACATAAATTGTGTGTGTTTATTCTTGTATTAATACATACCTACCAGGCCATGCATGATCCCATAATCCTGCCCATGATTTTAGTCTCCTCACAATTGCAACTCACCTGTAGTTATAAAAACTTTTTTTTTAGAAAGAAAAATAGAAGGTAAAGTGTGGGAGATTGACAAGTGATCATAAGAAGTGGAATGTTGTTTTTTCAAGTATGTGGAACAAGAGGTCACTGAGTGAAACAGTGCAACCTCTGAGAAGTAGGAAATTACGTTATTGACAGAATCAGCACCCTTTACTATAATTTCTTGATTGAATTCATTGTTTGCCTCAGTAACCTAGGAGAGATTGGAGCTGTAAATTTCTCAAGGAAGATGAAACTGGAGCTTGTTTGCTGCGTTCACTGAATTGAAATAATTGACACTGAATGCGACACTGTGGCTAAGGAGGATTGAGAAAACTAAAAGGCAGGGGCAACAGGGGGCACAGAAAAGAGAGGCAATATCTCTAAGCAAACACTCATAAAAGACAGTGGGCCAGAAACGGGAAGGCATAGAAATTCAGGTGCCTAGAGCTGTACTTAAGAAGAGTAAAAGGGCCCCCAAACCCCTGAAACTTTAATGAGCTAAACAGAGCTGGATCAGGGAGAAGCTCTGAGACAGACTTTGCTTTTGCTCTTGGGAGAGTGCTTGCTGCAGACCTAGGATACCATCCTAAGAAAAGAGATTTTTATGTGAGCCTCTTCAACCAGGCCTAACCCTGGCAGATTTGATTCAGAAGCACCACTCAAAGTCAAAATTCTTCCACTACTTTCTCCCAGTTTCTGAAGGAAATGCTGTTTCACTCATATCTTTCTCTGTCTGAGCCAATCTGGACAACATATATGTTGGGGGAGTCTCAGAAGTCAGATATATTAAAGGCAAAGGTGTGTTTATTCCTTCTCCGCTAGTTCTTTAAACTCAATAAGCATGTGTATTCTCCTATTCCTGTGTACCCAAGCCAAATCTCCTGACAACCAATACAGATTTTCAAGGAAAGATTTTGTTTGTTTTTTATTCTTCTTCCTCATTTACACAGGCAGATAATCCAAGTCATGCTTTAGTCCATGATAATGTAATTGTAGGACAACCAGACCAAACTCAAAGTCATTAAGTGACAATTTAATTAGTGTTTAAAATGTTTTTAGTTAGAACCATTCTTTATTTGTGATAACACTCTCTTCCTCAAGCCATTTTAATCACAGTTCCTTCTGTACCACAAAAGTAACCAAGCTTTTTCTGTACTTCACTGGCCAACACTCAGTAAGCTGCTTAATCAAATACTCTTTTTATATATCATCCACTCCATGTTGCTTGTCTGCACTGAATTTAACTCTTACAGGTTCCTTATACTTTAGTTAAAGCACACTTTTCTTGCTATACAACCTATATTATCTTTCACTGACTAAACTGTGCTTTTGAAAGTATTGCCTGAGCCACACTATGATTTTTCTCTTTAAAGGTGTTAAACTGACAAGTCCAGAATTGCACTGTGTGGTTTAATGTTCATTTCTGGAGTAACAGTCATCTTAGTCCTCAGAAAAGTACATTGTCAAAGAAATTCTGAACATAAAAGCTTTTAGTACTTTGTCTGCCTTATACTCTCCATCATAGTGAAGAACAGCTTTTAAAAGCAGTTTCTGGTGACTATTAAGACTTCAGGCCACTTCTTCAGCTGGTGTGAATCACCCCTGGCTTCTCTGGCTTTAGTGCAGCAGAGCCAACTTCCACCAGCTGAGAATGGACTCCATGCCTGTTAAATGGAGCTTTAGGATGAATATGTGACTACAGTTTGGGTGCCAGGGGAACATTTCCAAAAGCTTTGACCCCAGGGATTTCAGAATCCTAGGCTACAGAAGCGCATCCTAAGGATTTGAGGCTCAGCTGAAATGCACTGGCTCAGTGCTTCTCCCAGATACCGTAAGGAGGTGTTTCAACAGCTTGAGCTGAGGATTCATACTCCCACACTGAGAAATGTGACGTTACCAGACTTGTGGATTGAGAACAGAAGGGAATGGCTAGCACCTAACAATTACTAGGCTATATGTATACCATGCCTTATTACTCCCATGTTTGTAATGACTGAAACAACGCTAGAATGAACCTCCTTCCTTCATTGTTTCCCTGAAAAAAAGGACACGTGGAAGTTGAATTGGAAGTTGGAAGGGTATGTTATGTCATTTTTGCATAATATTTAACAATTTTGAATGATAAAAGACAAGCATAGAGTAGACTTTATATGAAGTAAGTCTGGATCAAATCTTCTGCTTCTTCATGATGGTACTGTGCATCTTCAGTGCAGAAAATAAATTACTAATGAGGCAGTGCAAAATGGGATGGTGGTAGACATGGAACTGCCTGTGGTCCAGTTCAAGAAGCCCAATAACAGCTTTCAGCTGAGCTCTACAGGCTTCTGCTCATGACATTATGATAATTGTTCTCATGTATACTGGTTGCTTGAGAGTAGAGATTTTTTCACATTGTCTCAGTGAATGAAGAAGTCAGAAAACTCATGGTTTATAGAACCTTTAAATATCCACCACAGGGGCCTGACCAAGCTTAGCCATGCCCTTTCTAAATGCCATTGCAATATTCCTGTCTCCCATTACATAAAACATTAATCGTATTTGGTATAGGAACTGGTATCATTAAGCTTGGTTGAAAGGACAGGAGCAAACAGATGAAAAATGCATTTCAATGATTAAAAAAACGTGTCCAACACCAATGTCAAGTCAAAAACTAGCACTTTCTTCATCTACTCAGGTTCACACTGTACCAGGTTTTTTATTAGCTTTTTCTTAGAATTTTAGAGTTTAGAGTTTTAGAGTTGGACTCGATGATCCTTGTGGATCCCTTCCAAGTCAGAATATTCTGTAGTTCTGTGATTTTTTCCTTTAAGACACTGTGACCTTATTCAGTAAATATTGTTATTAGTGCAAAGCATGCTGATACACATATGCTTTACAAAATGCAAAGATGCGTTTGAAGTACAAGTATCGTGTACACTGTACAGGTAGCAGTTTAGGAGGTGCCAGCAAATGGTTGCTTTTAGGCTCAACAGGAAATGTTAGTCTGTTTGTGTCACAGGTGGGTAGCTAAACTGATAATTCTCCTTTTGATAACTACATCCTTACCTTTGTTGACCATAATCTGTTGCTTGCACTTAAAATAAGCTATCTTAAAGCTGACTACCCTCAAAGAATAGCCTCCTTTCCAGTCTTTCTTATGCACTTTTTAAAGCATGTGATGTACTGAGGACTTGTTTACAGCACCCTTGATATTTCTGAAATGAGTGTCAATATGTATCGGATTGTGAAAGTGGTACCTCTAGTTTGAGAAGCCTATCCATGTAGTAATGGCATTGCTGTGGCTGAATTAAGTCTACTGTTCATTGCATTCTCTGAGGTACATCCTCTGCTCCTTAGCAATTGAATCTATCATCCCCTGTAATAGCTGTCTTTTTTCAAAAAACACCACCTGACTCT